ATGTACGTCGTGTATGTATTAATAGTCCGCCCAACTGGCTATTATGCAAAGAGAAGGAGAGACTGTGTGGAGAGACTGTGTGGTATAAACACTTCGACCGAGATCATCACCGTCCTGCACGTTCCTACAACCCGGACCCGTCGACACTAACCACAGCCGAGATAAACCTTATTCACGTTCAAGGTAGGTCTGCAGCACTGGCTGATCCATCAGTTGTATTGTTCCAAGTCTTTTGCGTTGCATTCCACAGACAGTCAGCTGCTGGCGGTACCAGGCGCAACACCTCTTCACTTCAGCCATTTGTTATGCATCAGTTTTTCCTGGGAAATCACGTGAGGCGAGGAGAAGTAGTTTCTGTAGTTCTGCCTTCGCCTCCTGCACTACACTACAGCGGGATTCGCACGGAGTCAGTCATGTGTGAGTGTTTATGTGTGTGCGCGTGAGTTACTGACAAATCTAATACGGACGACCGCCAGGGTTCCAAAGGACTCACCAGCGGTTCAGTCGCCGCGCTGAACGTACTACTAGTATCTGGCAGGCGCACGCCGGTCCAGACTGAAAATGACATGCCCCGTCGAGCCTGGCCACCGTTTGTGTCAGGTTGCGGCGAATGCCCAGGCGGAAAACTGTCCTCAGCCGGACTCGAATGAATGCTATGGTTCTGTCTCATGCTGTACCCCCACCTGCTAGGCTCCCTTTCACTCGAAAACATAGGTGCCCTAAATGCTCCTATTCTCAACAGCGGCAGAAATCTCTTCCAAAGAATACAACGAACACTTTCGAAGCAATTCTTGTTCTGCAATAGGCTTACAAGGTCGCTACTGCAATCGTTTAGCAGCGCAGTTCATGTTCTCCTGTAGCTCCGAAGCGAAGGCTACCCGTGACGATCTCTCGAAGCCAGAGCCACGTGGCGGTCTGAGTTGGATGCGATACCATTGTGTGGGGTAAGTGTTTGGTCACAGAGATTGGAAAACAATAATAGTTTGTGCCGAGCAAAGGCAATCAGGACGTCATTTCGCCGATTGCCTAGCCGGAGACATCGCCACAACACATTCATTCATCCCGGAGGCGGACTGGGGTAACTGCCTGGACACGACTCTACTTATCATTTTCGGCTCGCAAACCCAACTTTTGTTCGCGCCCGCTTGAGAGAAAGACAACGTGCCGACGGGAAAATCGCAAGAGAGTCTGGTAGGGAACACGCCAGAGTCGATGCCGTAGCTCGAAAGGAAAATAGGAATCCAGAGGTTAGCTTTCTCCAGTAGTGAAAGCTTGGAGTACGTTGACGGACGGCCGACGGTCCGCGGTTACGCGCGACGGAGACTCATATGATTATCCTATACTCTTGTTCGTGAGTCGGAAAATTTTGTTCTCTAAGCAAGCTATGAAAACCGGTTTGGGGAGACTGCATCCAGTCCCTGGGCATTAGATAATGGATGTACATAGACGTGTAAAGAAAGATGCAACGAGTTGTAACTATAACAGTTCTTCATGTGTGTACTCATCTACTGTGTACAAGCACTTGTAACGCAGAACCCTGTTAGTAAGCGTGATTAAAATCTCCTTTGATAAAACCGTGATCTTTTCGTTGGTCAGCTCTGAACGAAATTCATATGTTGAACTCTCTCCTGGGCGGCTTTTCGTGCAACAAAGGGGAGCATTTCTCCAAGGGGGTTGTTTGGATTCCTCCCTGCAGTCAAAGAGGCAAAGGTGACGGACAAAAGAAGAGAAGCCTGGATTACACCTCGCTCAAAAAATCCTATGGGGTCCCCAACCCTGTCTGGCCATAATAATTATTATGATCTGAGTTGTACAAGGCTCTCCATAGGCATAAGCCTGTTCTGCTTGGAAGATTCTCCTTCAGGGATGCCGCCAGCTTGAACTTGAAAAAGGTGTACCTTAGCTAGTTTCAAAAAGAGGACCAAAAGTTTACAAGACTTAGTTATCCGTTTTGTCCAACACTAACGGTTATAAGCAGAATACTGTTGAGTCAAAAATGTGCAACAGTATTCTGCTTAACATAATTATATAGTTATAACCGTTAGAGTTGGACAAAATGGACAACTTGTAAACTTTTGGTCCTCTTTTTGAATTTTAATCCTTGGCTCTGCATCCGAGTTTAATCTTAGCTAGTTTGTGTATTATTTGTACTACAGTACTTTCGTGTGCCGATAACTGGGGTTTGGAGTCGTAGCCTAAGTTACGCCGTTCTTATTTGTCATGTACAAGTCGATGCTGCACAGTTGAGTCGCAGGTGTAGAATCTGAATGGTATGCTGTGCTGGTTGAGGTCCTGGCCTGTTCGTTCTTCGGCGCTCCTCCGTTCTTGGGCCGCCCGACAGCATTGTAATATCCGTCAATGCGCACCTGAAGTGAGACCTTGGTAATGTAGCTGTCTATCGGCATCCGTACTCAATTGTAGTGGCAGTGAAACAGTACAGTCTGAGGCGCGTCTGCCTCAGCATTAGACTGTATTCACAGCCACTTTATCTCCTTTTTCTTCCTGTTGTATAATTACTATCCGGCATGTATTCACCGCCATATTGCCAGGTGCTTGTTTACCACCATATGAATAAAATATTCTCCTCAAAAAAAATTGAAAAAGCACGGTAGTAGCCTACAGTATTGTCGCCTGCCGGAGAACTGGGGAGGGGGGGGGTGATTGCCATGCTGCCGGCGCAGATTGTGCCGTGCGCATGCGCTGTGCTCTCGTCCAACCCACAGCGGATGTACCTTGATGCTGGCAACAAAGCGCCTTGGTGTGAACGGTCCATTGAGAGTGACCGCAAGCACAACGCGTTTCGCCTCTCGGAGAAACTTCTCCACGTGCGCCCTTGGAGTTACGGCCACTGCATCGAGCTTCGTTGCTGACAAGTCCATTCGCAGCTGAGCTAGCCTAGGCCATTCTTATTTATTTTAGTTTTGAGGATCTCCCGGAGGCGATGGCCTGTATATTTTCATGTACTGCAGTCTGTACATGGTTGAATCACCGTGTGTACGTTGGTATGCCGTGCTTGGTGAAATCTTACCCTGTTCGTTTTTTTGGCACCCAACAGTTCTGTAGTCTGTTGTGCCTGGGAGCAGACACTACATTTTGCCTACTGGTGCTGGGCGGTGGACTCGTACATTGTGCATTGTACAGTGGCACTGTCGATTTTGAATCAGAGTGCTCAGGACTTCAAGGGGGCGCATGGTCCGTGCTATGTTGCTTTAGCTGCAGCCCAGCATTGCACTTGCTACATAGAGGTATCCGTGTGTGGCTCTATACAATCCAGTCCTATGGCCAGAGCAATGGTTGGTAAGGACCTCAATTGAATGGCCAGAGTGCAGGCGATAGGAGCTTATGAGATGGCCGCCGCGCATGCTCAAAGTCAGTCAACGTTGCTGTCAAATGGATCTCTAATCGCGTTTGCTAGCTGTTGCTATGCCTCCCTCCTCCATCAGCCTTACTTCAAGTGCATTTTCAGGCTGAGGTTGTTCAAGGTGTTCTTCAGGATGTGTCAGAATTTGCTGTCTGTGTTTTCCCCAAATCTAAGTGGACCAGCCTCGTGGCCTTTCTGCTCCAGGCAAGTTGTCACAGGGCACCTGTGTGGCGGCCATCTTGGGGATACGAACTGACACGTGCTGTGATGTAATGCCTCGTCTCCGGTACAAAACCTCTTGATCGAGCTACCTTACGTCGAACCGCATCTCGCCAGAACGGCGCCAAGCATTGTGCTCATGTGTCAAATGCAATGTATTCTCGCTGACGCGTTAGATCTTATATACCAGGTCTATTCGAGTAATAATTATAGCAATGATGAGTGCAAATGCGTGCAAGAGGCATGTATGGAGTAGTAATCATACTGGCCGAAGTTTTGAAAACATCACTTCACTTTGCTCTAGCTAGGCTTGCACTGTACATGTATACTCATACGTCGTTTATCCGGGCGGTCCGGGACAGGGGGGGGGGGGGTAACTTTGAAATATCCGTCACTCCGGATCATGTACATTTTCATGGGGAAAGGCCGTAGGTATGGCATGCGATGTCGCTATTTCAACAAAAAGCGACAAAAGAGAAGAAATATGTCCGCAAAAGTCGCCCGAAGGGTGCCCAGTAGACCGAAATGCCCGTAACTTCGGGATCCGGATAACCGAGGTATGAGAGCATCAGTAAGGCACTTGCTTGCCGCGGGCCCTGAAGGAGACATACGGCCAGCAGGCAGGCTGTAGCAACTCGCCGGGTCTGAACAGTGATTAGTTCTATGATTGATTTGGTTGGTCATGCGTTGACAGCCTGGCTGGCTGTTGCTATTGAAACTTTTCAATTTTCCTTGACGGATGGCGCCAACCGTCAAGTTTGGCATGTTCGGCAAGCGTTCAATTACCACCAGTTCCTTGTGCGGGCTGTCGATGTTGCAGAGTTGCACGTGCTTCACTGTTAACGAACTTGCGCATCAACTGGAACTGGCATCACTGATCTTCAATCGGCGGTGAGGTGTACGCCTGCTGAAAGTTTCTCGAATGCATGCGTGTATTTGAGCCGAGGTCAACTCCAACTTTCTCTCCATTTCTCTACTAGACTAGTGATCGAGCTCTTGCTCAGCGAGGTGCTCGTTGTAACTTTCTAGCATTCTTGAGCACGGAAAGCAGGAAAGGAACATGTTAAGTGGCTGCTGACCGTGGATTTCATTCAATGGTGCCGTGCCAGCTAATGTTGGCACCAATGTTATTAAATTTTGTAGACCGGCCCGATGAGCACCAGTAAGAAAAAAGCAGTGTGAAGCAATCTAAAATTGGCGGCCCCAATAGGCGCCCTTGTATGCCTATCCCGATTACATGGTGAGGCTAGATGACTTGGACTCGGGTGTTTTTCGGAACACACTGTCGGTCACTCAGAAAGGCGACCTGATTGAGCCGTGCACAATTTTCATTGACTTGGAGGTGGTTCAGCTGCCGCGAACCCCCTCATACTGATCCGTCTTTCCTATTCGCTCTGTCCTCGTGTCTATTTGCTTGCAGACTATTGGCTAGAGCGGCACGCCAAATCGGTGTCCCGCCTAGTCAGCCAGGAGTGTCGCGAGAAGAGACAGAGCCGTGAAGACGGCACACGCGCAGAAGACCGAACAAGCACGGGCAAGGACACCACCAACAAGAGTGACACTAGCGCTCACCACGGAGAGGAAACTCCGATGCTGTCTGACGCTGCACTCGACGCCAACACTGCGAAGAGCACCAGCGCGGTGGTTGTCGCCAGTCCGATGAGCAGCGCCGAGAATGCACAGCGAGCGGCAAAGCTGAACGCCACTGCAGCCGCCGCTCCGTCACGCACCGACTCTGAGGCATCCTTGTACGACGAGTGGACGCGATATCCGTCACTGCTCTCGGAAGGCATCGGCGCTTTGAGGACCCTGACGGATGAAGCGTGTGAGCAAAGCGCCTGGCTTTGGAACAGTGACTTCTCCCTACCAGGCAAGTCATAGAACTTTAGCGAAAACACTCCTTTCTCCAAAATTTTGAACGACGCTTCACACAGCTTCATTGCAGTTGAATAGTTTTCAGGCAACCTGCCTGATTTCTGATGATGGTCATGAAGACCGAAACGTTGAAACGATACTTCTAATGGATTGTTGTGTGAAATGCAGTGCTCTCTTGAGTGTATTAAAGCAGGTTGCCTGCAAACTATTCAACTCCTTTCTCCTTTCGCTAAAATTGCTAAGATCTCACCGACGCTAAAATTAGGCGTTTTACAGTACTCAGTGTGTAGAGACACGCTGCGGAATATTTCCGGTTTCATCATGACCATACTTCATATGCAGCTGTGCGTCATGTACGTGCATGTGCATGTATCTAGCAGTATGCATGCATGCACGCTCCGTGCTGCATGTGGTACATTGGCGGTATAAACTCTACAGGTCGTTGTTGCTGCTCCTTGTCCTTTGTTCATGTTGACAATATGGACTGTTCCTTGTTTTTCCCTGACGAGGGTTTTTTTGAGAGTACGGAAGTGAAGTTAAAAAAAGGAAAGGAAAGTTCGCACATCCGCGTTACCATCGGCTAGTTCGGAAGTACTGGCCTTTTGATACCGTAAGCTACCTAAATCCAGCGAAAACCTTTAAAAATAAGAATGAAAAATGAACTAATGAATAAGAAGAAAAGAGGACCAAAGAGCTACAAGTTACACTATAGTATCCACTTACACCACCAGTTACTTCACAATCAGCTTTGTAAAGTTGGTCTGTGTCGTGCAATGTTATCGCATGAGCTGATTGTAAAGTAACTGGTGGTGTTAGTGGATATTACAGCGTAACTTGTAGCTCTTTGGTTCTCTCTTTTCTTATAAGTTAGTCCTTGGCTCTCCACGCGAGTCTAAAAATGGACTAGGCACACATTTGTTTACCCTGGTCACTCACAGGTGTATTGTATGTTGGTTGCCATCCACAGATTCGCCAGACTCCAGTCTCGAGGATCGGCATGACAACGAGATAGCGCGGGAGCTGCACGAGAAGTTCTTGCCGATGATGACGGACAACGATGACGCGATCCTGAAGGAGATTGTCGAAGCCTCGGGACAGCCGGGAAACCTAGGTACTGTATTTCCCCGATAATAAGTCGCAAGTCGCACTTGATTATAAGCCGCAGCCCATTTTCAGGTCTGAGCCAAATTGTATCAATTCATTCACATAAGTAAGAAGTCATACTCACTTGTAGGTCGCAACCCCTTCTTTGCTCTTGAAGTTTAGTGTAAAAAGGTGTGACTTATATCCGGGGAGATACGGTAAGTGTCCGGTCCCCATCCCACCGTTACAAGAAAGGCCTTGGTGTGCGTAATCCTGGCTTGATAGCCTACCCTCCAGACAACTATTTCACTCCTTCGTGCCTCATTGGTAGAGGTCGATGCAAGAAGTTGTTACGAACTGTTGACTTTGGAAGGAATTCTGCCATCCCGCTTGCATCAAAATAATGTACTTGAGGATTTATGCGACTATTCTATTGCTCTCTTCCGCTGCTTTTAGACTTCTCCAAACTAGCCGCTGATCTTCTCGTTGGTACGTATCACGGCGGGGACAATGATGACGATAGCTCAAGTAGTGGGGAGGAGGACGACGATGACGAGGATGATGCCAACGGTGACGACAAAGTGGCTCGCAAGAGTGTCAACGCCGGCAGCGAATCGGACAGCGACGTGTCATCGGGCAGCAGCGGGGAGGACGATGACGACACATCGGATATGAGCGACTACAATGACGACGACAGCGAAGTGTGCAACGGCACCCCACCGTCAGACACGAGCACTGCTACACATAGCAATACTGAACCGCAAGCACCATCGCTCCTTAAGACTGTACTCTCCACCGGGCCCCGATGCCAGGACTATCATGCCAGTCAACAGCACTCTCACATGCCATACGCAGGCAGCATGCAGAGCAACCAACAGCATTTCATGCCTCCCAGCGGTAGCTTGCCAGCAACGCACACCCTCGCGGACGAAGAGGAGCGTCCGGTGGGCGTGTTCTCCATGGCGACACACGGAACGTCTCTGCCTCCACGGTCCGCGCTCAACCCCAACGTTCACCTGATCCCGCACCAGAACTTCCCGCACCCGGGCTCCGTCATCGGCAACAAGCCGCATACGCCATACTTCACGCCGCCTCTCTTCTTCCACTCCGTCTCGTCGTCTGCCGTCGCTAGCGCCTCGGCAGCCGCCCTCGCACCCAGCCACTTCATGATGCAGAACTGCCGGCAGCAGCCGCAGGTCATCATGGCAGCGGAAAACGTCGCCGCTGCCGCTCGTTTTCACTTCGACAACGACAACGCGTCCGAAGAGGGTCTGTGCGAGGACGCCGCCAGCAGCATCGGCAACAATGACGCTGTGCTAGATGAGAACGAAGATGATGCGGATCAGCAGGATGATGAGGAGGATGACGACGAAGATGATGGTGGAGCGACGGGGGCAGCAGCGGCCACCAAGTCTGTCAATGTGCGGCGCAACACGGTCGACCCTAGCCACAGACGTGAGTACCGACGACGGATGCGATGAGAGTTGTTGCTCGAAGATTGCGGGTGCTGCGTGCAAGGCTGTGTGCACAGTGTGCTCAAGGGGTGCTCACAATGCGTTGATCAGAGCGGTACTTTCGGGTCATGTGTGGCTTCAGGGACGTCGGAAGGCCGTCTAGGGTGGTACGGTCAGCCACCTGAAGTACAATTTACTCGTGGGGTTGGGTGGCTCCTCTGAGCACGAATCAGTGCCTTTTTATTAGGGGTGAAACAATTATACCGAGTACTCGAGTACTCGCTCGGATTTTTCAAAAATAATCGTACTCGGAATAAATCAGAGTACTCGTTCATACATGGTGCATGCATTTATCACAGAAATCTGCAGTTTCAGAGCAGCAGTCGGCAGATATTGAGGTGCAGACTGTGTGGTGAACATTTGTTCACGAGTAGAGAGAGCCCAAATGACCCACGAACCGATATACCCGAGAAAAATGACTGCTACTCGGTTCAATCAGGGTTGTATCATGTGATTTTAAGGGCCTTGGTGTGCAATTTTTAGGAGATAAAGAATACTCGAATACTCAAATATTCAATCGGAGAAAATCAGAGTACTCGAACTCGGGATCTCAGTGCCAACTTTCACCCCTACTTTTTCTTGATTCCCAGGGTAGATCTGCCATGCCCGTGACAAATAGTGGTACGGTTAATATCGTAGTGACCGTAGCGTGTCCGACGCCCCTGGGCTTACCCGGTGTGCCTGACCCAGAGGCTCAGTCCCGTTGATAATTGAGCATCTTGATCCGGAAAGGGGGCTTATGTCATTTTTGAGCATGTTGAGTTATCTATACCCTGGCATTGCTGTATCCCACTGGATCACTCTGTAAAAAACCTGGGTCCAAAATCTTTATCTTTCACAGAGCTATGGAACTATACATCGCTTTATGCGGAAAACTCAACTTTCAAAATGCATTTTTCTCAATACTGCGCAAAACGACATAACTCTTCGGATCTAGTGGCTCAATTGTTATGCGCATTTCCGCATTGAGGTGTGACAGAATAATGCTCAATCCACAGCTTCGCTTGTGCTGAGTAGCATGAATGAGAGGGGAGAGGAGAAAAAGCGGCAAAGCAATAAAACAATCCCATTATGGATGGAGACAAGAAAGCCATAATATGCATAAGATCCCACAAACAGCAACAGATTTGTGTGGATATAGTTTGATTTGTCAAAGCTGGCTATGTGCGACCCATTCATCAACGCTAAAAGGAAACAATCATATTGTGTGTATACATGTGTGTGTGTGTGTGTGTGTCTGTCTGTCTGTCTGTGTGGACATTTGTTCTTGTGTTGTGCTGCCCTGGGCAGACTCGATACCGACGCAGATGCAGCTGTGGGAGTACATCCTGCACATCCTGGAGCTGGGCAAGTTCCGGCAGTGCATCAACTGGATCAACCCGCAGCTCGGCTCGCTGCGCATCCACGACTCGGTACGCCTGGGCAAGCAATGGGGAATCTACCGCCACAAGACCAAGATGAACTACGACAAGATGAGCAGGGCCATGCGCTACTATTACAAGCGCAACATCTTCGTCAAGATCGAGGGACGCCTGGTCTACCAGTTCTCTGAGCCGGTCATGCGGCAGGTGCGCGGCTATCGGAAACGCATGCGTCGCGGCGCCAGCAGCAGGCGCACCTAGGGCACGACGACACGCCGTACACTGGAATTATCGTTCCGAGTGTGCTGCATCTGCTGCTGCTGCTGTCCGGCTGCTGCCTGACTTGAGGAAAGCCCGCCGATGCATGCCGATTGCAAAGCACCCTGTGCAGGGACGCATCATAGCACACAGGGTGTTCAGGTGCAGTGGCATATCAGTGATCCTGCTCACCAATTCTTGGATGCCCCGATTCCATATGCAGGCTGTCAAGGCTCGGCGACTTGTTTTTGCTCCGAGATTGATATCATGACTTGAGCCCCCACCACCACCGCCGCCGCCACCACCACTAACCTCGATATCAACCCTAGCAATCACCCTTACCCCGTTTCTTTCTTGGACCACTATCCTTGATTACGTAGACAAGGGATGCGCACATGTGCAGCAAATTGCCACGTGCTCTCAAACATTGCCTGTGCAAGAGTGCACACCACTTATCATACCGTACCACTTAGGATGCCGATTGAAAAATTTTGCCGGACCTTTTTCGAAATATTTGAACAGGCGGCGAGGTGAAAACCGTCGCAACATGTCGCTTCAGCTGATTCTGTTCATTGCTGGACCTTTTTCGAAATGTTTTCTTTTTTTTTCTCTTTCAAAAGCAGCTGCTCAGGCTTCCCTGAACATCTCATGATTTAAAATGTGCATTCCTGGTGCATATTGCGCTGAAGAATGTGTGCATATCCTGTCCCACTCTGCTTCCCACCACCAATGGTGCGATGCGAAATCTCTGGACCATAGCACTCTGCTACTGTGAGCTTCAGCCTCATCAATAGCATTTTTCTGATGCTTTTTTTCCCCCCCCCCAGGTGCTCTAGCACTAGAATTTAGAAACATTAGCACCCGATTTCGGTTTATGCTTTATAGGCACTACATGTACAGTGCAGGCAACTGAAATCCGACCCCCTGAGCGGTGGGTTCACATTCTTTCCGATGTGAGCGCACCGCTCAGAGGGTCGGATTTCAGTTGCCAGCACTGCACCTTCTTCTTTTTTAATCACAGTTGAGCCTAAACTCCCTTTTCGTTTCCTTTCGTGAAGCCATTCGCAACGGGTATCTTACCCCGTATTCCTATACCTTGGGGAACTGTGTGTGCTACTCCCTACGCACCAACCTCTTCCTCATAATACTGGTACCTTGCACCTAGATTTCGGCTGTGGCAGCTGTTTATGATGTGGTTACCACCATTGCGGTATTTCAGTGGCCGCCCAAACGACTAGTCTAAGTAAGCCGTGTGCCTCTGAACTCCTGGCGGCACAGCGCTGAATGAGAATGTTGTGCAACATGGAAGACGATCTGATAGTGCCAGTAGTACACGGAACCATCGCGTACAGGCACATGTGCAATGTACATGCTAATAACATTGGGTCAACGAGTCCCTCAGCCCCCTCCCCCGCCTGCTCTAATGCCTGGACCCTACCCCATACATGTGTGAATGAAAGATGCGAGCCTGAAAGACCCTCCCCCCCCCCCCTCCTCTCCTCACCCTCCCAGCATGTATCCTGAAGGTTTGAAAGTTCTGGCCAGAGAAATCCAACCTCATGGATAAAGTAGCACCTCGTCCGAGTGCACAGACCAGTACGCGTAGTGCTAGTGCTGCGTGGCGCCCGGCACTATATTTCTCATGAGGTTGGATTTACTTGGCCAGTATTGTAGAATCCTGATGTTTGTGCTAATCAAGCCGTAGTATTATGATCTCTTGGCACCGGCAGCAGGCAGTGCAGCCCCATGCCCTGGGCCATGCAGACTCACGCCCAAGTCACTCGCCCTCTACACCGCAGCACGGTCAACACTAAGTCCACAGAACGGTTGCGAACGGCCAGCCCAGGAGACCAGGCCATGCGCCAGACCACAATGCAGAGCCAGCAGGATCGGCTCGAAAGCAGAGAGTCGTGAAATACGGATTTTGGGACTCCCTTGTCCAGACCGTGTACGTGTACATGAATGTGGATGCCCGGTTTGCGGTCGGAGTTGTCCGGTAGATTTCCGGGGTCTGAAAGGAAAGCCGATTTCTTGGTGTAATGATCGCGCAAAACAGGCAAGACTTTGTAAACAAGACACACTCATCTTTCAAAGATGAAGCTCAGTGTCTCCGGAGAGGTACGAGTGACCCTGATGAAGTTTTCCCCAGGGGCTTACAGAATATGGCAGCTGACTGGCTACAAATGACCGCCGGAAGCTGTCCAATTCAAGCTTGGGCGGTTAGAACACCAGGACACTTTAGCAGTTCTGATTGTTTGTTTGTAGATACATGTAAATGTATCATAATCTTATTCTAGGACCCCGGATCTGGTGGGTGAGATGGCTTTATTCGATTCAGGTTGTGCGTGCTTCCCCTAGCTGCATCTCGTGTTTGGCATTTAAGTGGTCTTTGTGAAAAAAAATGAAAAGTAAAAATAAAATTCACGATCTACAGAAGAGCCGGTATGCAAGTGTATTGTTTCGGACGCTAGTAGGTTTGTCACGACCCCTTCTCGCAGGCCCTGAGGCTCCTGTCTCCGAGCATACACCTATTCGGCCACTACCGCCTACCGGCGGTATACCGGTATGGCTCGCTGAGGTGGATGTGAATCAGCGTTCGTGGTCTGCTCTGTGTGACGCTGCGTGTGCGTGCGTGCGTGCCGGATGCATTTCGTGGTGTGTTGTAGTACAGACTGTCAGTCATTGTACATGATTGTACAACTATGTGCAAAGAAGCTGCCTGGTTCCGTGCCCTCTCCGGGTCAAGTGGTGATAGTCAGTGCAAGGACGTGCTCGGGTGGAATGGCGACCACAGCTATTGCTTGCGAATCGGCCACTTAGTTGCGTCAAGCTTTTCTGTTCGCCACTGAAAGTGATTTACGATGAGGAATTCGATGGAGAGAACTTGGGTAGACCGTAATGTTTTTCTCTGGTCTTGCAGTTCCTGGGCATTCCTCGAACCGCGAGCAACGTAGACTACCACACCCACGCGTTGCCAAGCGCGCTCCGAGACGTGTGCTCACAGATTCACAAAACCCGTCTCCGAGTGGACATTCCCAATACAGGGCCCCTAGGGTGGACCTTGCCTGGTCTTTGTCCCTAAGATGTGCATGTTCCCATGCTCTCTTCTCATTGTCCGCCTACGTTCTGCCTTGTCGCTCATACATGTACATGTATGGTGGATTGCTATACATCTCTCCAGCTTGCACGGACATACAGGTACACTGTACGTGGAATGGAATTCTACTTTGTGGTAAGCGTCAACAGTATCCGCCAAAGCTCGCAGTGTTTATCCCAATTGGAGCACAATGACGTTGATGTTTTGAGCCGGTATAAACATGCTTTGTTGTCACTGAGCTCCGCTGACAAGGTCGAAACAGATAGCTGTCCGGAGATTGAGATCATTGAGTACTTGTAAATGACTGTATTCTATTGTTCTACTAGTACAGTGTACCTCACGCCGTTAGTATAGACCCCTTTCCGGATAGAACACAGTGCGCGTTGCATGGCAACGGGTGACGCGCAAAAATGTTTGGTGGGCAAGAAGTTCAGCCCAAACTGCAGTGAAAGTAATTTTTCAACCAGGAAGCAACAATGTCTGCTGTCATCCCTGACTCTGCTGCCGCTGAGCAGCCACCACCCTTGCCTCAGCCACTGGCTGTCCTTGCTGAACAACTTTCAAAAGGGTCCGAAGCCAGCGATGCCGATTTTGTTGGGGTTCAGACTTCTCTTGCGACGCTGAAGGTGGCCGAACTGAAGGAAATTGCCAAATTTCTGGATGTTCGGTTGACTGGAGCAACAAAGAAGGCTGACATCGTGGAGCGCTTGGTGTCGATGTCCAAGATTGGTTTGGCTGGTGCTGCTGATGCGTCGTCCTCTGGTGCTTCCGTTGGACTGCAGTATATAACTCAAGACGTTCGGGGCACTTTGTCTTCGTTGCCTCGTTTCAACGAGGTGCAAGACTGGTGCAAGGAGTTTCGTGCTGCTGTGGTGCGGTTCCACTTCATGGATTTATTGACGTACTTGGTCTATGGACGAGACAAGACGTTTGATATGGAGAGCATGAAGGCATTTAGGTGAGTAATGAACATGGGCGGTGTGGGTACGTTGTGATAGTAGGCAGTTTGAATTCGTAATCTCTCAAGACAAAGTCAGTGTCACTGTGTGTCAAGTTTTGTTGAAAGACCTACTGTAACTGAGGTCAGCTAGCATTTTCGAATCAGTTGCCATCAATGTCTAATCAGTGAAGGAATTCAGCTAGGGAACCCCTGAATTGCACATCCCTAATATTGTCTCTTTTCTCCAAATGTGTCTTTGGAAATTTTGTTGGCAACAGGTCTTTGAAGGCGTACCAATTTTTTGCCGATGGCTTTGTGAAGAATGTGTGGAGCAAGCAATATCCTGCATCTGGGGAGAACGGTGTGGCAATCTCCTATCTCCGTGCTTACGTCCACCATTCCTTGTCGTGTGATACACCGCTCACCGTGTATGTGTCGTTGAACACTGAGACTGGTGAAGTCTACGCTGCGCAATGCAGCTGTATTGCCGGGTAAGTGTTTTCACAGAAACGCACTACGAGTTGGTGTGTTTTCTTCAGTCCAAATGTGACAGTTGACCTGCGGCACTGATAAATCCTATTATAACTCTTCCTCCTTACCTGTGCTGTGATAGTTCCTTTGTAGTGACATGTATTTTGCAGATGATTGTTATAATAACTTCTTTGTTCAACAAGTTTGTGATGTGATGAGTTCTGACAGCTCTATCTGACGTTGGCATATATTTGTTGTCTCCCGTGCATGGTGTGCGTGTGCGGTTGTTGTTTATGTTAGGCTGGGAGAGGCGTGCAATCATGTTGCTGCCCTACTCTTCTTCATTGAATCCGCTGCAAAAAGGAATCTAGTGGAGCTACCCGTGGAGTTGTCTAAAACGTCACAACCTATGCGCTGGAATCAGCCTCCAAAGAAGCATGTCGATCCTCAGCCACTCGCCAATATGGAGTTTGTGAAAGCTTGCCATGGCATGACTGATGATGAAGTGGAGAGGAAGCAGCTGCGAGCGGAGTTTGATCCCCGTGCACCGTCACACCGCCAAGTCACATCTGCTGACGCACTCACCTTGCAGGAGGCATTAGCAGCGGGAAAGGCATCAGCCAAGAACTGTGGGTTCTTCCATTTCTGGGAAGTCGAAGACCAGTCATCAGGACTTGCTGCTACTCCAGTTAGCCAACCCAAGGACCTTTCGCCATTGGTCCTGTTCCATTCTGACAGGCTTCCAGGTGGAACGAGTGAAGATGCCCTTGGTCGATATACCGGACCACTGTCCAAGTACGGTGTATCCCAAAAGGAAGTGGAAGACTTCACCAAAGGCCAGACAGACAACTCGTGGTGGTTCGACCTACGTCATGGGCGCCTAACTAGCTCACGATTTGGTGACATCGTTCGCTCTCGAGCCCAGGAGCCAGTCTCGCTGCTGGCCGGTATCATGGGATACACCACCATTTCCGCTTTGCCACCTGCCATGCGATGGGGAGTGGAGAATGAGCCCAGGGCGAGGGACATGTACCTCAGTGTGGCACTCGAAGATGGAAAGAACATCACCGTAAGAGAGTGTGGTCTTAGCCTCCATCGTGACTACCACTTCATTGGTGCGAGTTCTGATGGAATCGTTGTGGAGGAGCTTGAGAGCGGCGTGGTGGAGCGTGGCTGCCTGGAAATAAAATGCCCCTTCTCCATCCAGGGCACATCTATTGTTAACCTCACGCCAACTCGGATCGCCCAGCAATTCCCTGGCAAGTCATTCTTGGAATGCCACGCGGACGGGTCAGCCCACTTATGCAAGAATCACAAGTACTATGACCAGGTGATTGGTGAGATGGCGGTCATGGATGTGAAGTGGTGTGACTTTGTGGTGTTCACATGTGCTGGCGTGCTTGTAGAGCGTATCATGTTCGATGACGCTCATTGGCAAACCATGCTCATGAAGTTAACATCCTTCTACGAGCAGTTTGTTATCCCAGAGCTGTGCTCTCACAAGCTGTACCTTTCAAAGTACAAGTCATGAATGACAAGAAAAAATATTTTTGTGTTTATATTCTGTACATAGGGATTTCAATCTATTTTGCTTCGCTAGATTTTTTGGAACTTTGTACAGCAATGCCCCATCTTCTGCGAGGGATATGCTCGGAACC